TATATTTATTGCCTTCTTGAGGTCATCATATTGTACCACTCATGTCTTCAGTGAAGACCAGTGCTTTTGATCCTCCCCCAGGTATCCTGCAGCACTAAACTGAGCTTGGGTCCTTCAGGTACTTCCGTGGTGCAAGTCACAGCCACAGATGCCGATGACCCTTCCTACGGGAACAGCGCCAGGGTCATTTACAGCATTCTGCAAGGGCAGCCGTATTTCTCTGTGGAGCCAGAAACAGGTAAGGCATCATGAATTAATGTCTATTAATGGAATCAGCTCTATGATTTTTATGGACAAATACAAGATGGGGAAACAAGAGCAAGATCATAACTTTAACACTCAGAGAACACTATGGATGCTTCAGGCTAATATTTTAAAAGTCAAAGTCCAAAAATTGAGTAAGCTAATGGGAATATTTATTTGTTTATTTATCTATTTATTGTACCAAGAATCAAATTCAGGACCTTATGCTTGCCTGATAGGCACTGCGCCAATGAACTATAACTCTGGCCCTGGAAATGAATGCTTTATGTGTTGCTGTTTTTACATACATAGCTAGATTTTTTTTTTTTTTCTTTAGGGAAGGGACTACAGGGTGTTCAGGGTCTTACTACTAGATTGGACTCATAGTGATACACCTTTCTATAGCCTCCTAAGAACCGGGATTACAGGTGTGCACCACTACACCCAGTCCCAATTGCTGTCTCAGTGCACCCCGGGGACAGGGCCAGAATGGCAGGCCCAGGGATCAAACCCCTGGCCCCTGCGCCTGCTTGCAGGCTCTTTAATCCACTGAGCTATTTGGCCAGACATCATAGTTAAATGATTCTGTACAAAAACAACATAAACAATGAAAATATATGAAATCACATTTACAATTTTTGCACAAAAGCTCAGAGAATATATCTTAGGTATTTAAGATATTCATTGAGATCTTAATCTAAGTTTAGTTGACCATTCAGTAAGAGTAATGAAAGCACCCGTGTCTTGTTAAGGCATCATCAGGACCGCGTTGCCCAACATGAACAGAGAAAATAGGGAGCAGTACCAAGTGGTCATCCAGGCCAAGGACATGGGAGGCCAGATGGGGGGCTTGTCGGGGACCACCACGGTGAACATCACGCTGACGGACGTGAATGACAATCCGCCTCGCTTCCCCCAGAGTAAGTACATTTTCACACATGTTTTCTGGGGCAAAACGCTCAGAGTGTTAAAAAGAGAAGAAAAATGTACATGTTGATATGTTCCTGCTTATTCAATAATGAAGTCAAATAGTCAGAAACACTTCCTGTATAGATAAGAGTTCTTTTCCTCATATCTCTTCATATGTACACCTTTAATCTACCTCTTTCGGCTAAGAAAAGACAATAGTGTTTTATTGGAAAACACATGATCTTTATTTGCAATAAATCTGTTGATCTCTACTTGGCATATAATAAAGAGGATCCTCATAATGCAAGAGTGAAATTTTTCAATAAAAGTGTGTAATTTTATGCCTATAAGGACTCCACCAGAAAGGCCCTGTATAGGAAAACCTGACACAATAGTAAGATACAGTTTCTCTTGTGTGGGGGACTCCTTCATAAAAGTGTTTTATTTCTAAACTCTGTGCACCTTTCAAATTCTCATAATTACTTGAGAATATATTAACAATATTAACCGTTCACCAGAAAATACTTGCAATTTATTTTTATGTCATAACAATTTGGTAGGTTGCATTTTTATTTGTATATAGAGAAAAAATGGTGTTGAGTTTCAACAATTACTTCCAATACTAAAGTAACGTGTTATTTCTAATTGTACTTCATGATAAAACTTAGAGTTATTAGGAATGAGGCATGAAAGGCAGTTTTGGGCTGGGGATATCGCTCAGTGACACAGGCACAAGGTCCTGAGTTCAATTCCCAGTGCAAAATACATAAACAGAAGATGAATTAGTTTGTGATGGGCACAGGTAGAAAAAGTACACTTCCACATTCACGTCCTAGGCATAAGGCCAATCAGCCTTTGCATCATCAATTGCATGTTGTAGGTTCATATGATTAATATGAAGGCAGTATTTATATCTGATTCCTTAATTTTCATTGTTTACTGAAGACTAACTTCTAATTTTTTTTTCTGTACCAAGAATTGAACTCAGGACCCTGCACTTGCCAGGCAAACTAACCTCTAAATTGAACTTCAATTTTAATTAGTTTTTTCTTGGACTATTTTTTTTCTTTTTTTTTAATTTTAGTACAGGGTCTACAGGGTGTCACTACAAGACTGGACTCTGTGATTCTCCTGTTTTCAACCTCTCAAGGCTGGGATTATAGGTGCACTCCACCACTCCCAGTCTCAATCTCAGTTTCAGTGCACCCCAGAGGCGGGGCCAGCACCAAATGCTGGTGATGGAATCCTGGCCACTGTGCTCTGCCTAAGCAGGTGCTTTAGTCCACTGAGGTGTCTGGCTGGCCCTGGACTAAATATTTTAATGATAAAATGTCCAAATACAAAGTGAAGTAGTTTTCTAGTGTTCATATCCTTATACTAGAGACCATTACTCAGAACAAACTACATTATAAGAATTAAGTGTATTTTTCAACTTTTTAAGAAGTTTACTCTTTCAGTGTTATTATACTTGAATTTCATTATTAATAGTCATGACTTAAATTAAATTGCTTTTAAGTTAAGTTATGTATGTAGAAGGATTATAATATTCAAATAAGTATTTTTTTTTTACTTTTTATATTAATTTTACTGAGAAGGAAATAGCAATGAGACAGTTTCAAAACAGGTTAGTAGGACAGTTACAATAATTAATAAATTTCATATTGTTGTCTTCATAGTAGTTATGCATAGTACAAGATGCAGACATGATATCTTGTCTAAACACTACTAGTTCAAAACTTTCTTCTCATTGAACTGAGAGAAAGTAGGTGTATATCTGTGCTATTTTATATATATTTTTTTCCACTAAAAAATAGTCCTTCATTTATATCCCCTTGTTTTGTTTACTTTTGTCAGAGATGGGTATTCCATTGCCATTCAAGTATTTTAAGTACATGAATTCAGCAAAGTAATCCAATATAGTACAGTAGACCATAATAGTAGTGGCTTATCTGCAGGGCTGGCAATGTCAGAAGTTGTTGGCTTGAGCTCAAAAGAACAAATAGAGTTTTATTGAGCAAATGAATTTATTGCCCATGTGTCTGTGGTGGATTTTTTTTAAGTGTGTCTTGTATATGCCCCTCCAGCCTACTATCATAGTGTTGGTCTCTGGCGTATGTGGGAAAACACTCCCATTTATGCTCATTAACAATATTCAAGTTTCAGATCTACTTAAGTTTATCATAGTAGCAAAAGAAAAATGAACAATAATAATCTTTGTATAAATTTATTTAAATATTTACAGAAATGTATATGTAAATAATAATATGTAATTGCAAAATCCAAAGCAATTCCTGAAAGAATATCTTTTCAGCAATAAATAGATACTTGGGGTAGTGTTGTATTTTAAATTTTTGTAAAATTACATTAAAATTCATTTACTAATAGCAATTTCAATAAAAAATTAATTGATTATAATGACATGCAAAAACTAGACATTTTAAAGGTAGTTACATTCCGGGGAAAATATCTTTATTATGATCTCATTAATGATTTATTTATTCATTAAATATTTCTTGTCATTTTATTAACTGAAAACTTGTGATTGGCATCTGTTAGGCACATTATACAAGTTTTGGGATAATAATAGTTATAATAATAATAATGATCAAGCCAATAACCAAAGGAAGAAGACACCAGTTTGCCCTCATTTGATGGCATTTTTGGTGGATACAGTACCAGATAATGTACTGGTTATCATTTGAAATCATAAAAACTCATTCAGATCAGTGTGGCAATCTTTATTTTGTAAATGAGGAAGCTAAGCTTACAAATATCAAAATTGTCAATAATGGAAGAGCTGTGTTGACCGCAATATGCTACTCCTGATGCACTGCACAATACATTTAGAGGAATTTTAGAGCATCAAGTATAACTCTCATTATTTTAAAATTTGGAATAGAAGCATAATTTATGGATTTTTATTCTCTAAATTATCTGCCGCATTGTGCATATCTGCAACCATCTCTGTTGGTTACGAACCCTTAGTGATGGCAGTGGGGACGGTACTCCACAATCTCTGTTGTCTAACATCCAAGAAACTGTTTTGCTTTTAATTTTAATGACTTTTCTTAGAATCTATAAGTTAGAAAGTAGTCTACTGTTTTTAAAGATTATCATAGGTAGAATATTATTGAAACCTCACCACTAACTTGGATATCACCATTCTTATTATCATCATTACCCGTATCAATATCACACCCAATACACACAATGTGGATGTGTCAAAAAGGAGCAAACCAATGACATCTAACAGAAATATAAGGAAAGCCAAAACTGTGCTCCACATATGTAATCTTAAATTTTCAATCACCCTATTAAACAATTTGAGATGACATTTTAATTACATCCTGTTCTTAAATCCAGTATTGTCATTGAAAGATACTATCGACATAAACCTTACATATTTTACACCAGCTTTCCCTCCACATTCTGTGCTCATATCAAATATTTTGTGCTTTCATCAAATCTCCATTCAGATTAGCCGTACTTCTCCCTGTGCTGAATGGGAGCCATTGGCTTGGCCACTTGCTGACTTATTGGATAGCTCTGCTCATGTAGGCAGCTGCGTAGGCTCCTGGCATGATGCTCATTTTGCTCAGTGAAGCAGATCTACCTGGTTTTCTGTGCCATTAGTAAGAGAAGATGTCAGTATATGCTTTGTGGCATGGTGGGAGACTAATTTATTACCTATGAGTTCTATGTATTACCTATTGATAGCACCTAGGATATTTATATTTGCAATCATGTTGATGTATACAAGTCCTGTTCTATGATTATAATTTTCACCAAGTAATGTAAAAGTGGGATCAGATCTTAAAATTTTTTAACATTTCCTGATCCCAATATTTCCAATACACTGCCCCAAAATCTTTTCATTTGGAGAGAACAAGGACCATTGCAAGTCCAAATATCCTCTGTCATTCCTTCATTTCCTTCAATGTGCATATTTGTAACAAG